GTAGAAGTGTGTGAGAAAATTAGTTTCTGATATCACATGCTTATTGGCTAATGAGTTGTGGCTGACAAGTCATTAACCAGCGAGCGACCCGCCCCTCTCCATCACATTTGTTTTTTGCAAATAAAATGGTGTTAGCAAAAATGCTTTCTTAAACCAGCGGACAATGTTGCAACAAATGTGAGGGTACCATAGACAGATAAAACGGTGGAATCACAGTGATGTCACTGGTTAGTGTCTTATTTTAAAAAAAAAATGAAAGTATCAAGCATTTTCGCTCTCGCCTGCTTGTTGTTTAGAAACTGGACATGGCAAGGAGCAGCTCTGACTGAGCTCTGAGAAACCATAGACACTGCATGTTCATTGGCGAACAACTTTTGATTGAAAAGCTCTTAGCCAATGAACATAATCCTATTTTCTGGCTCTGGTATTGACCTGAAACTGGCAACTGAGCCCATAATGTAATCAGAAAGAGAGCCGAGGGCTGTTGAGGAGGACAAGTCGCCCCCTACTGGTCATGAGTGCAAAGGATGCAGCTTTAAGGCACTTCTCCATCGGGTTCACCTATGTCCATCTTTTACAATGTCTGTGCAGGGAATTTGGACACCCTCATCATCAACCCAATGATCCTGCAGTGTGCAGGAATTTTTCTGGTTCTTCTTGTGTTTGTGTTCAATGTCCAGACTTTTAGTTTCAGTAATTATAAGAAGCATTCACCACAGTGAGAATTAAATCCTGGCTGTGTACTCCCATCATAAATCTAGTCCCGCTGTGTCCTAGATCCAGTTTAAAGTAAAGAGACCATTTCTCAATCCACCAGTGAGGCCGGGAAAGTGTGCAGCCTCTTCGCCGTCACGCAGCCTTCCTCAATGTCCCGCTGAGAGCTGATTGGGATGCGAAGAGGTTTCTTTTCATTTGCGCACTTAGATGAATGCTGCCGTATGCAGAGGGGTCAGCATGACCTGGATACAAATATTCATTTGCTGATTTAATTAAAGCTTTAGAGTGGGCGGATGAGAGAGATGTCATGTTTAGGTGAGTAAGAAACCAAGAAAGAGTGTGTGTGTGTGTGTGTGTGTGTGTGTGTGGCTCTAAGAATGTTTTTAACTTGGTCTTTTTCCATGTAAATATAATATTTATGAAGTGCCACCTAAATTCTCTTTTATTTTTAGGTAAAAATATGATTCTTCATGCACTCTACTGTATATATGTAGTCACTGTCATGACAGCTGCTTAAGAACAGGGGTTTGAGCCAGCTCTGCGCCCTGGACCAGCTCTCTCATTCGGATCGCAGGCTGCACAAACATTCAAACCCTTCTATCGTTCTCAGGTTCCGCGTGACAAAGTGTGAAAAACCAACCAGGGAGCGGCGAACTCTGCTGATATTAGATTCTAACGGGAGCGTCCCCGCATCACCCACAGCGGTGGAGCCGAAGAGTCGACCAACATTTAAGTTCCCTCAGGTGTGTGTGTGTGATGAAAATGTTACCTGTTTCTGCTTTTGTCTTCCCTGCACAAGAGCTCCGTTTCTTATGTATTTATAAATATTTGTGTGCACATATCTCACATTCCTCTCTTTATACTATGCACTATATTACTCAACCATCCACATCATTGCATTTAGTTGTTTCGGTCACTTCAATAACAAAAGGTTTATAAAATCAAGCACCTCACTGCTATGGTGTGGGGCTGATTTTCAGCATTTGGTCTCAGCCCTTTAATGCTTCAACATAGCGAGATATCTTGGACAAGTTCACGCTCCCAACTTTGTGGGAACGGTTTGGGGATGACCCTTTCCTGTTCCAACATCACTGCACACCAGCGCACCAAAGAAAGGTCCATAATGACATGGATAAGAGAATTTGGTGTGGAAGACCTTGACTGGCCTGCACAGAGTCCTGACCTCATCCTGATTCAACACCTTTGGGGTGAATTAGAGTAGAGACAGTGAGACAGGCCTTCTTATCCAACATCAGTGTCTGACCTCACAAATGTGCTTCTGGAAGAACAGTAAAAAATTCCCATGAACACTCCTAACCCTTGTGGAAAGCTTTAGAAAATGCCTGAAGGTACTGAACTATACGCGACCTGTCATTTCGGCTCTAATTTTGTGCTTTTAGGTAACAAGTCAGTAAAATGCCTGCAACACTTACAGTAGAAGTCTGCAAACGCTCAGGTCCAGATGGAGATTTGACCTCAAATGCAGCGTCTTCTAGTGAATAAATATAAACACATGGCACTACAGAGAAATATTACTTCTAGTATTTTCAATAAGAATAAATGCGATGGAGTAAAAGCTGCATTCATGGACAGTAGTTTTTAGTTTCTGTTCACTGATGCTGTTTATTGCAGTGGCTGTAAGAAAAAAACGAATAAACGAGTCTTTAAAAAATTCATCACACAGAGGTGGAGAAAAAAAGAAGACCAGCCTCCGGCCTGCTGTCTTCTGTTTACATCACAGGAAGTCTGGTTTATGAAATGCTGTGCTCCAGGTGATCGTGAGCAGCATTCGCTCGTCTCTCCTCGATGTCTAATTTAGTGTTTACAGGAACAGGAAGCTGCGTTGTCCTGTAGCTGCCGTTAAACAACAGAAATTTCCTCACAGATAACGTGTTTTCATATTCTTCAAACAAAAGCAAACAGTGAACAACAAAAAAAAGGTGCTTTCAGGCGCTTTGCAGCAAACTGCATAGGTCTTGGTGCTCCTGCTGTGAAATTAGCCATCAAGGTGAATTCTTGATCATCACATTTAATGTTCATTCACACATGTGAGCATTTCTTCTTGATGGATGCTAGCTGTAAACAGCTTGTCCTAATCGTCGCGCGACTCTGTTTTACGTGGCTGTGTTTTTGGTTTTTTGCTTGTTTGCAAAGCCAGAGAGAGTGAAAGATACCGCCGAGTGACATATGACATGGGTGGTAAATACTTTACAGGGTTACCTAGGCAACCAGAGACTGGAATGTCTGCTAGTGACCGACAATCGGCTTCAAAGCGATGTGCCTAATTTAGCTTTGCTTAGGTTCAGTCTCAGGCTCTACTTTTACAAGATGAACACTTATAGGGAAGCTCTTATTGCATGAACAGCAACCTGACGAGTTGTTCTCTACTCCAGGAGCATTGAGGTTGGCAGCAGACCGTGAGAACTGGACGGGTAACCAGCTCTGACGGGGGCAGTTGGCTCAAGTTGCTATTTAAAAAAGAAAGCTACGTATATGTTCTGTATATTTACAGCCATATACAGACAATGCACTCTCTGAGAAATGTTGCCAGAGACACAAAAGTGCAGAAATATCAATTCAATATCAGTTGCAGAGGCAACGCCAGAGATGAAAAGGAGAGACGTTTTTTCCTTCTGCATTAGTGGATCAGTGAACTCGCCACACACTGAG